CAGCCAGTGCTATCTGGGCACACAGAACAATCCCCTCCACTCAAAATCGCACTTCTGAAGAGCCTGCATAGAGAATTTTTAGATAGAGATGGTTCAATACAATGGAAGAATCCTTGAATTCGTGTCACAAAGTACAAAGTGACCAGTAACTCCAACCTTGCTGTAGCATTTGCCCTTTTGCTCACTCAGAACAGGTACTTGCTCAGTGCAAGGCAACTTCCTTGGACTATTGCCCTTGCTGGAGTCCACTGCTGCCAGGTGCTCTCAGTACAGAACAGCGTGTGTCCTTGCCCAGTCAAAACTCAAAGGTTTTTCCATCCTGCCACTGCAGTCATGTGATTAATGAGACTCACAGTTCTGCATTACACTTCCTCCTTTCCAGGGAACACAGAGTCTCTTGAGCAAATCCAGGTCTCCTTCATAAACTGCACTATCAGCTTTTATTTACCCAAAGGAGTAACTTTTTGTCAAAATAAAGATACTTCTAGAAGAGATTTCAGAAAAAATCATGTTTTCAGGCTGCATTGTTTAGGAAGAAGGGAGGCACTTTGTCAGCTAACAAAAGGCAAACTCACCATCACACCACAGTTCACACTGTCTGCAGTAAGCTGATGCGAGATGTGTGCGTGACTAGAAGAAATCACAACTTCTCACAAATTCTCAGCCTTCCTATATAGAAGTCCCCCTCCCTTGCCATTCTCATTCACAGTTCAAATGGGTCATGGAAACAGGAGAGGGGTCATTTCTCACTGTCAGGGGTGCACCCTTCACCCCCTGCATCTGAGGGAAGACAAGAAGCTGTGCAAACTTCCACCAAGACTCACGAGTGCTTCGCTCCAGTAAGAGGTTTGAGCTCCTCTACAAGAGGCAGAGTTGCAGGAGCAGGCCAACCCCATCAAGTATTTGGGGAGAGCTATTATCACAGCGCCTCACCTCAGAATCCTTATGGCCACCACACATGAGGAAAGGGGATGATGACACCCTAGATAAACTCAACTGCCATGGAACAGAACTTAAAACGTTTGGATTTCTCTCTCTTAAAGCACAGTCCATCCCCCATCCTACCACAACAGTTGAGATCAAACTACAGATTTAGGATGAGATTTTCAGGCAAATTCCACCCTCGTGTAGAAACCAGGAGCCCTGATTATCAAAGCCATGTGGTTTGCCACAAGAGAAGACCCTGGACCAGTCATGCAGACTGGGGAGTATCACACTCTGCTAAGAACAGGCACCTCCTGCCCACTCCCCTCACCATAAGCCTCCTTGCAATCTGCTTTACCAGTTCCTACCCTGTCCCCTACTCCAAACCCTGTCTCACATCCCTCTTGAAATTTAGGGTTTGTAGGTGGATTTTCATTTGCTTTGAAGTGAAATCTCCCTCCTAGGCTGAGCCATAAATGTAATTCCTCCTGTATGTCAGCACAGCCCAAGTCCTGTACCTTCCCTGCATGTTTTCCATTCAAGCAAAATGAGTTTGGGCAGGTAAGAACTGTTTGAAGATTAAAGTTTTTTTCCTCAGCCAGCTCAGTACTAATCAGACCAGACTCTTTCAAGGCAGAGTCTGCTAGCACAGCATTCATTTATATTTCACCAACTTGTTTCTCCATATGTTCCCTTATACTATTTTCCCTTTCCATCACCTTAAACCTAGTGTGCCTGTCTTTTAAAGATACTGATCTTTGTTATTACAGTAAGCCCAGATGGTCTGTGACTATAAGGTATTCCCTCCTCCTCTCTCTTTGACTCAAGAAGGATCCAAGAAAATAATTTATCCAGTTTCACCCAGGTCATAAGAAGTCTGATAAAATTGCTAAGCACTGTAAACCTCCACCAAACAAACCACCTCAAGGAGAACTCCTGGTAGAGTTCTGCTAGGTAAAGCACTCAGAAAGCAGTGGTTGGAGGTCAGACAGGACAAACCTGGGGGTGCAGGACTCGGCTGAGCATGATCCTGCTCCAAATAACAAGAGAATACTTGGCTGAGCAGCAGGTGGTACAAGCACTATCCCATATGCATAACTGCAATGGTAATGACCTGTGAAATCAGATCTCCTGAAGTACAGATGTTTGGGTGGAAACCAAGAGAAGGCTAAGTTTAGAAAGGGAAATGTTTTTCCTGTTAAGTCTGTCCTTCCCCTGCCCATTTAAAAATCATAAATTTGGGTTGGAAGGGACCTTAAAAACCACCCAGTTCCATTCTCCCTGCTGTGAGCAGGGACATCTTCCCCCAGCCCAGGTTGCCCAAAGCCCCGTCCAACCTGGCCTTGAACCCTTCCAGGGAGGGGGCAGCCACAGCTTCTCTGGGCAGCCTGGGCCAGGGCCTCACCACCCCACAGGGAAGAATTTCTTCCCTAGATCTAATCTAAATCTGACCTCTGTCAGGTTAAAACCATCACCCCTAGTCCTAACCCTATCCCCTCCTCCCCCCATCAAGAGTCCCTCCCCCCTTTCCCGCAGCCCCTTTCAGCCCTGGGAGGCCACTCTAAGGTCTCCCCGGAGCCTTCTTTTCGCCAGCTGAACCCCCCAACTCTCTCAGCCTGTCCTCACAGGGGGGGCTCCAGCCCCCTGAGCATCTCCATGGCCTCCTCTGGCCCTACTCGAGCAGGTCCGTGTCCTTCTGCTGTTGGTGCCCCAGAGCTGGACACAGCACTGCAGGGGAGGGTCTCGAGAGTGGAGCAGAGGGGGAGAATCCCCCCCTCGCCCTGCTGCCCACCCTGCTCTGGGTGCAGCCCCGCACACCGTTGGCTTTCCGGGCTGCGAGTGCACATTACTGCCTCACAGGCAGTTTTCCAACCATCAGCACCCCCAAGTCCTTCTCCTCGGGGCTGCTCTCAGTCCACTCAGCCTGTGTTTGTGCTTGGGGCTGCCCTGACCCACGGGCAGGACCTTGCCCTTGGCCTTGTCGAACTTCAGGAGGTTTGCACAAGCCACTGAAGCCTGTGAAGGTCCCTCGGGATGGCACATCCCTCCAGTGTTGGCCAATGTACGCCGCTGAGGACAAACCTAAGCAGCAGAGTGCTAACACCCAGTGCCAAGAGTCATGGTTAGAAAAGCAGGAGCCTCATTACTTCTGACTGAACCAACCAGAATTGCCGAGGAGGATCTTATCAAGAAGGATATGATTCTGTTTACTGTTGGATAAAGGGCAATCATGAAGTGTGAATGCAAACAAATGGTCAGCTGGCAGAAATCTTTTGTGGTCAATTATCAGTTTCAGCCACCCATTTTCAAGCAGATGTTCAAAGCGCATCTCATTTTTACATCTGCTGCAACGCAGCTTCAGAAGCATTTAGATTCCAATGGGAGGCTGCAAATAATTTTATCTATTCAGATTGAATATCCTCTAGAAACTAGAATGAGAGGAAGCACAACCAGAAACACGGATTATCTCCCAACTCACTTGAGATGGTTAGGTATCAGAAGTTTACAGAGTACAAAAGGGTTTCTTCCAACTAGCTGATGTTCAAAGATCACACATGTCCTAGCCAGCACAACTTTTAGCACAATCACCCAACACAGATCTAAGAAAGTTGTATTCATAGAGAACCTGCAAGTGCAGGATACCATGCAGATAAGTGAAAAGACAAAGCCTCTGCTGTAGCCAGCCTGTAATTCACCCAGACAATATACGAGCAAGGAGCAAAAGAAAGGATACAAGGAAGAGCAGATAGATCATGTAGATGAGGGAATAGTGAAGTCAAACACTACCCTAAGACAAACCCCAGGAGATTTACAATACAAAATAGAGCTAAACATTTGTAGCAGCAATATATTAGTTATCACTTCCTAAAGGGAATTCCCTTGCTGGCTTTGAAACCTGCTTATTTTCCTTTAGGAATTTCTTGGAGTCATTCTGCATTTCTGCTTCTCCCACGCAAATGATACACAAGACGTTGCTGTGGATCCAGGTGCACAGCAGTACCATACAGGGTCGAAGTCAGCCCACCAAGAAGGTTTTTCTGTGACAACTGGGAAAGCCCACGCTGTCTGTCGGGCCGAATTCCAAGCCTACAGCTATTTGGAATAAGAGAGGTCTGCACTAATAAGAAAATCAAATTGTGTGCATCACAGACAATGTTCTTCCCCAGCAAAATAGATCTCTTTCACTCACCAGCCTTGTTCATTTGGAACTCTTGCCTGATTTTCTGTGACTCAGAACATACGTCTTGCATTTTTAATTTGAAAGGAAGAGAAAACAGGCCATTTTAGCTTTCCTTTCGTAGTCCTGTCTGCATTACTTATGCTGTATTCATACACTGGAAAGCAGCCCTGTGGCTATGCAGCTGTTCGTGCTGCCCAGATAAGTGCAGGCTCCATGCAATGAGCACAAAACTGTCAGCTTCTTATAACTCTCAAGAAATGATAATTATTGTGCCCATGAACGCTCAGAATAACCACAGTGGGAGGCCATCTCTGGAAGCTACCAGAAGACTCTTTGCCCTTCAGAACATCCCAATTCTACCTATCAACCCATCAGATACTGCTCTTCAGCTGATATCCATACCTGCTCTTTACAGACACCTTCCTTTAACCCTCCACAGTCGACAGATCTTGGATGACACTGCGGAGTGGGGGCAATGTGTAGAAGGTGTCAGTAGTAAATCCAAATCTCAGCACTTAAGCTAAAGATTCCGGGTGCATAGTTGTGGACTGAGAAGAACAAGTCACCTCCCAACACAACGAGCTAGAGCTCAGCTCTGTTCTTTCCAGGTAACATGGGCCTGTTTTGGGAGCATCCCTGATTTGCTGCAGCAAGTGCCCTGTCTAATGTTTCACAGGTACCCCGAGCTACAAAACTCCTCTGAACCAGTCCTGGAACAAGATTGATTGCTGGATGGGAACCCCGTGGGAGGCAGCACTAGCCAGTGTAGCAGGTCATTTTATTTCCCTCTAAAAAAGAAGTATATGCAAAATGTCCAAGAATACAAGTGCAGCAAGCCAGGGCTCCTGCTATGGTATCCATACTCCACTCTGCCCTCCCACCAGTCCAGCCTTACCCCATCCCATCTGGGGGTTACTTGGTGTAGGAGTCAGTTTCCTTTGTATAGATGCACACAGTCTGGATAGAAATGTTTCTCTGGCCCAGCTCCGCTTCCAAAATGCGTGTCCGTTGATTCAGTCTTTAAAATAAAAGACAGTGTTAATTTTTTCTTACACAATTTGTCAAATCAGGTTATAGAAGATAGAGGGGCAGAAATTGCCCTGCAGAACTATTACAGGCATGAACTTCTTGTAGCACTAGTCTATGATTGGAAAAATAGAAATATTTATTTGAATAAAGCCGCAGAGGTAACACACAGAGCAAAGCAGGAGTGTCAGCTGAGTGAACTGGCAAGTCGCTGTCCTGACTAACAAGCCAGGAACCTGCAGCAAGCCCTCAATAGCAGATTTTTCATCTTAATCAAAGCCACACTGGCAACGACAACGCACAGAACATCCGAGTGCAGCAGGTCAGCAGCAGCCACAGCAAAGAACCACCAACTGACAACTCCAGGCCCAGGAGCACCAGAGAGAAGCCAACCATCCTGAGCAGGGCTGGCTTCTGCAGCACCCGGAGCTGCTCTGCTGCTGCCATCTGCCGGAAACCACTCCAGAAGGTGGGCGGCCAACAAGCCACACCAGCACAAACACCCTCTTCTGCCCTGCAACCTTCTTTCCCATTTGGACCAGCTCTATATTCTTCCCCCTCTTACAGTATCATAGGAAAAACATTAAATACTTTCCCTCCTATTTCAGTGCATCTTAAGAAAAAAAAAAAAGATAAAACCAGCAGCACATGACCAACCAGACTGGTTTAGGAAACTGCTGGGATGTTTTTCAAAGTGCAAAGACATTTAGAGGTTCCTAAGGAATTACCTTTCTTCCACCTCCTGTGGCACTGGAATAACTTTGCCAGGCTTCTTCCCACTGGTTGTCTCTTCTTGCTCAATCTGGCCTACAGCTGTATCACTTAACTAGAAATGTAAGGGAAAAAAGGGATTAAGATCTAATAAAAGAATCAGTCCACGTAAGTCTTGCTTATACAGTTATATAAAAATCAATCTACTCGAACAACCTTCCTTTACTGCGTAAAAACGCACACTTGTGTTCATACAGGCATTACTGTGAGTACAAAGCGAAGGAACAGAATTAAAAAATTTTAGTTACAATTAAGATGTGTGTTTACTTTAATGCTGTTTGATGGCTGCTCAGCTTCTGTAGATTCCCCCTCATCATCCTCCAGAGAGTCTGATTTCCTTGAAAAACAGCTCTTTGTTGCTTTGGGAAGTTCTTGGTTTAGGATTCCAGAAAGTGGCATGGGACACCTCAGCAACACGGGTGCTGAGCTCTCATCAGCTGTCCTCTGGTCACGGGCCAGGTCAGAAGAGGGCGTGGATCTTCCCACAGGATGACCACTGAAGTGGGACACATCTTTGCTGGTAAAGGGAGTCTTTCCCAGGCCGTCCACATCCAGGCTTTGCCAGTCATTAGACATCAGCCCCTCTAAAGAGTCTTCGAGAACACAGCTACTATCAGTTTTAGCATACTCGAGGCAATCATTTATGATTCCTTCTGAAGCTTCTCTTTCAGCTTCCTCCAAAGTATTGACCTCCTGAGACTCATCTACATCATCAGCATGAATAGGGCTAAGACTCAGAAGCTCCTGAATGTCAAGGTCAAACAACATGCGAGTTACCTGAGCTGACTGCAGATGGTTCTCATCCGAACTGGCGCTTCCATTCAAAGGGCTAGGAGAGCATTCAGAGCTGACTGAAAAACACTCTCTGGACACAGAGTCATTTGGTTTCTCTGCGATCTTTGACTCTTCATTTGCATCTTCGCTGATGACTGATGCCCCAGAGTAGCTGCTGCTCTCATCCTTTTCACTCTCTTCATTTATATTTTGGCTCAGACTGCTTTTTCTAGTTAGGCACTGCTCAGATTCCACACAATCATCTGCCAGGATTTCCTGGATCTCTTCCTCAGTGTAAGTGAAAGAAGAATTCCCTTCTTCACCGTCTGACAGTTCCAACAAGGAGTCATCACTATCACCAAAATATCTGGTTATATCTAGAGAAATGACTACATCATCGTATTTTGGCACAGAAGAACTGGCAACAAGGTCATCATGGCCAGTATCATCCAGAAAGTGCAAGGAACCTTGAAAGGAGGCAGAGCCTGGGGAAGAGCACAACGATTTCTCTGATGGATCTGAAGTGCCAGAACCATGCCTTGACACACAACCTTTCTTAGCTGACTGCAGGACCTCAACCTTCTCTGGGGAATCCAACAACCTTTTGACTCCAGCAACTGTACTATGAACAGCGGGTTTACATTCGTGGCAAAGACAAAGCCCAGAGGCGTGAGGGGAACAGTCATCCATGTTGCTGTTGGTTGCTGTAGGTTCATGTATCTCAGTGACGCGGTGCCTTCTCTTACAGCTCTAGAAACCTGTTCTGAAGTTCACCTGATCCTGGTGCCCTTCAATCAGCCCTTTCAGAAAGGAGTCAGATCCAACCTGCCAGCAAAAAACATCTTAAATAGAAGAAACTCAGCTGTTTCTCAAAGACACAGTAATATAATGAGGAAGGCAAAAACACTAGCTGAAGCACAGCAGTTAACTCCATCTCTGTTACCTCTACTCCTGATCATTTCAGGTCTTAACAACATAGAACAAACAGTCCCTCGTTCTGTAAGCATTCTCAGGTTGTTTGGCTTCATCAAGCAGGACTAATACGAGTCCAAATCACCACCACAGCCTGCAAAATCTCCTCCAGAGCTGCCGTAAATCAGTCATTCTAACACCAGATACCAGTATTCACAAATAGCATTCTCTACATTTAAAGCAGAGAGCACACTTTAGGTTATTAAAGCCTCACAGACTGCTCTCCATGTCCTAACCCCCACCTCTGTCCTTCTAAGATACTAAAAAAATAAACAAATAAAAAAGTCTTTTTCGAGTTAGGAAAAACTGAGCAACAGAAGATTAACTCAGGGAGCTCAGAGCACATTCAGAAGTGTATTAGTCACTAACACACTATTACAAAACACATATTATAATGAAAGATCAGAAGATAAAAAACCTTCCTGTAAAATGCAATAGTTTAAAAGCACAAACAAAACCTGTTTTCCTCTTAGTGGGGACTCACACTAACATCAATCTTTTGACTTGAAAGCCCTCCATTTGACTCTCACCCAGCAGGAGAAGCTCGACTAAGGAAAGGTATTTCCTGTCCTCTTTGACCAAGGTATTTAAATGAATACCTTTTGTCTTTCCATTGCTTTGACGGGGGGGGGGGGGGGTACCTACTCCAGGAATAAAACCCAGGCAGTTCTGCTACTTCTTGTCATTCTGTCCAAATAACACAAATCAGCACTTTCAGAATAATGCTGTAGCCACACTGAAGAAAGAAAATACCTCGGGAATCACTTACGCACATACATGACCTATACAAGAGCATATGGAGTCACAGGTAGTCCTCACTAGATAGTACTTGCCTGGAGTTCTGCTATTTAGCTACAAGTGCTTAAGTGCCTCAAAGAGAAACAAAAGGCAAATAAAAACAAATTAAATGTGGATTTAGTCCTACAGAGTGTAGCTGTCTGATAATCTAGCTCCTAACCAATAAGGACTTGAAAGGGAACCAAACAGTTTAAGTCTTTTTGCTGGAACTGGCTTGCAAAAAGTACATTTGGAAATGTTTACATGTTCAGCTTGCAGACAATGAAATGGTTTCTTTACTGCTGTGACCTTCCCAATTCACCTAACTACAACCTACGCTGGGTCTGTACTTTCAGCCCTCTGTCAGCTGATTCTGGAAGCAGAGCTCTGGTAACTACGCAACCAACGATGTATGAGCCCAGACAGAGCCCCCTGCTATTTCCCATAAAAGCATGTTGAATTTGGGGGCTCTTCAAGGATTTACACCAGGGTAATGCTTCAGAACAGTTTAAATGGCTTTTCAATTGATGTCACACCAGGCTGCCATCCTCTCACCATGTCCCTCACCCCAGCACTGGTGCTTGTATGGTCAGACCACGCTGGAGCCAGCTGACCCCCAACTGCAAAACCACCAGCCACAGATGGGCCGTTTGCCTGGGGGCTGCCAAAGGACGGCTCTTGGGAGAATTCCACACGTTTATGAGGGTTTCTAGCACAGTTTCAATAAACAATGTGATCAAAAGACAAAGCTACTGAGAAACACAGCTCTGCCAGAGCTCACAGACTGACCACCTTGCCCACTCCACTCCCCACAGCCAGACACTGATCTCACAAGCCTGCAGTGCTGCACTGCTCCAGGCTCTGTCCCTGAAAAGAGAATGGCAAGCAGGCCACAAACTCTAGAGAAAATAATCAGAGGGCACAGGGTACCAGCCCCCTCATTTGCCCACCCCATCTCTCCTCTGACAAAGCAAAACCTCCAGAGATGGGGACCGTGCTCTCATCTCCCCCGAGAGCACAACGGCAAATCCCAGCGTTCCACCTCCGCAGCTCCCTGATCTCGCCCCTCTTTTACCCACGAGCCCACTCCAGCTCAGCGGCCCGCCCTCAGCGCCCCAACCCTCGGGCACCGCCCCGGGCCGCCCAACGCGCTCGTAACCGC